ATATAACAGGCTTACATTGTTATCTGAACCAGGGCGCTTTTGAGAGCGAAAGGTGGTGCCATCAATAAATACACTGGGACAACAGGTGTGTGGTCACTCTACTTCGAAGATCCTGGAGATCTGGTCTCAGCAGCCCCATCCCTCGTCACAGCTCCCCATCCTACCCTCAAACACATACATACACAGGCACACACGCAACAACCCCCCCCCCATTCTTTAGGGGGCCCACGTAAGCACATGCTATTCTGTCTGCCTGAAAGATCCTTCTCCCCATCCCTCCTTTGGTGAATTTCTAATCAACTGCTTCCAAAGTCAAAATAATTTTCTCCAGGATGCCTTCCTGACTCCCAACATTGGCTGAGGCGCCCCCCCTCCTGTGCTCCCATCAAATCTTGCTCTTCCCTCACCACAGGCCTCATCACACGTAATTGTAATGCCCTGTTTTCCTCTCTAGACCAGAGTGCCTCGGGGAGGGGGGGCCCTGTCGGATTCGTTTCTGGGTCCCTAGCATCGGGCACCGCGCTTGGTTTGTGAAAAGCCACTGAGCTGCGCACTTACACTTTGCGCACCTTCCTGTCTGCCGAATGAATGGGAATCGGGCACCGTGTTGTCTCCCTGGCTGCTGGGGGTATTAAGGGGAAGAGGGGACCTGGAGGACCAGCAGGTGCTCAGGCTCCTGCTCACGCCTCTCAAGGCTGGAGCTAGCCCCGCCCCTCCCGCCCCCCGTCCTCTGCTTGGCTCCCCCTAGTGGCAGCTGGGCAGCAGTGACGGGTCCCGTGGGCCAGGTGGCCACAGCAGCCAAGGGACGGGAGGAGGGCAGCGTCCTCAGCCAAGCTTCAACTCCTGCTGGGCAGCCCTCCCTCCCTTGCCTGGCTGCAGCCCCTCCTGCGCCACAGAGTCCCCATCCACGGGGTCACCAGAGGCCCTACCCCAAGAACTTTGAGGGTGAGGACTGAGGTTGGGTAGTGTGGCTCCAGGCTAACTTCCATGCTAGAGGTAGAAAACCGCTGTTCCGTGTATTGCCCTTGCAAAATGTACTGGTCAAGCCTGGCTGCCCTCTTTTGCCTTATATTCAAACCCTGGATCAGAGTCACAAGATGTGAGTGAGCTCAGGGCAACACTATGGATGAAGCGACAAGACCCAGCTGCGGCATGAGTGGATGGGCTGAGTGTGGTGGTGGGGACTTGGAAAATCTAAGGATGGGGCCAGTTGAAAACACAAAGCAGGGTGGAGGGGAATGGGATGAAGGCCCGTTGCCCCGCTGCAAAATGAGCCTTCCCCTCCCCCTATTTGGAACTTTATAGTTGGTAGCTGAGCTATTGGAGGAATACCTTGGGGGAAAGAGCTCAGGGAAAGGGAAAGACGGGAGAAGGGTCTCACTCTGGTGGCTTAGGGCATGGGTAGGGACAGTAGCCTGTCGCCGAGGGGCATCCAATAGGCCAGCAACAGAGGATCACACTCACATGGACTCAAGCTGGAGCAAGGAGCCAGCCAGGTTTCTGAGTCTCGGCGAGGGGGCGGGGGGGCTGGTGAGGCGACCAAGGGCTGCGATGGAAAAAGCTACCCTGCCCCTCTGTCTCTCCTTCCCGGTCACTCTGCAAGCAAAAAAAAAACCAAAACCAAAACCAAAAAAACCCACGAAGGGAACACTCTCAAAAAAGGCCAAGTTCACGGCAAGACTACTTGGGCACCTCAGAGGCTAAGGGCATCCAGGGGTGTGGGCAGGAGAGCAAGGCAGAATGGAAGATGGTGGTCAGGAAGAAGTGTCTTCTTTCTTGGAGCCCTTGGTGCTGAGACACAAAGCGATCTCGGGAAGGATGGGGTGGTAGCCATCTGTCCAGCCGCCACAAGCCCTTTCCCTTTGCAATCTTTGGGGCCTTGGAGAGCAGAACTAGATAATCGTGACCACAGGTCTTCCAGGTCTGAATACGCCTGCCGCTACCCCAGCCCCCTGCTGTTGTCCCACAAGTACCTAGACTTTGAAGAAGGGGACTTAGAAGAAATGCTCTACCAGAGACTCTGTGGAATACTGAACCTTATCCAGCAGGATTCTGGGCAGAATTTCCTTTACTCTGAAACAGGGAGTCTCAAGACTAGTAGAAAAAAGATCTGCAGGAGAAAAACAGGACTCAAAACATGGCAGGAATAAAGTAGGAGGGGGGAGTCCTGAGCTGTAGCATTCTTGCCTTGAAACCATGGCCTGACGTCATGACAGGAGCCACCTGTTCCAAGCAGCTGGGGGGTGGGCGGCGGGGGAGATACCCCCGTGTGCTCTCTCAGATAATCGTTTGCAAAAGGCTGAGCCTGTAAGAACAGCCTTCCGGGAGAGCCAGCAGTTGGCAAAAAGGCAGCAAATGACTAACAGGCACAAGGTCAATCCTTGGCCTGAAAATGAGGTGTGAATTAACTTCCAGTATGTTCCTGCCCCGTGGTTGTATTAATTCTAATCCTCCCTTCTCCCATTTGCAGCTATTGAGGGCAGTATAGAGGACTCTGGTGACCTCAGTTATCATGTGATGGGCAGGGGTGGGGGGTGGGAGTTTGGCATCCCTAGAGGACGCATCTGGCGGGAGGCTAGGGGTGCAAACTGAAAGGTAGGAAGCTGGCTCCCCCTCCTGACCAAATGTAATGGCTGTTTTCACCAATAGGGCATTTACTCCCTCAGGGGTCTTTAGTCCGCTTGGGGGGCCCAGCGGCAGTGCAGAACCTTCTTTCTTCATCCTCACTTCCAGAGTTCTTTGTCGGGGAGGTGCCTCCAATAACCAGATTCCTTTCCAGAAGCCTCTTACCCTCCCCCACAACCAAGAGCTACTAAGAGATGGTAGGAGGCAAGATTGCTAAAAGGGGCAGCTTTTTTTTTTTTTTTTTTAAAGATTTTATTTATTTATTTGACAGAGAGAGACACAGCGAGAGGAAACACAAGCAGGGGGAGTGGGAGAGGGAGAAGCAGGCTTCCCGTGGAGCAGGGAGCCCGATGCGGGGCTCGATCCCAGGACCCTGGGATCATGACCTGAGCCGAAGGCAGACGCTCAACGACTGAGCCACCCAGGCGCCCCAGGTTTTTCTTTTTTTTTTAACTGCAGGCATTTTCCATGATCCTAATACCCCTCAGGTCAAGGGCTACATGCTATTAACAGTCCAATTAAAGAACTCTCTAGCAGAAAATGCTTCAATTCCCAATCTGGCAGGGAGACCAGCGGCCCCAATTTGAAATGACTCTTTTATAAAGGCATTAGCTTGGGGACTCGGTGTGGTGAGGTTAGTGCTGTTCGGAGGAATCTCCCCTCTGGCTCGGAGGGTGGAAGGTGAGGGATGTGGAGTAGAAGCTGGGGATGCCTTTGGCTCAGCAGCAGTCATCTGGCCCTTACAGGTGCAGGCCCATTTGGCTTCGGTGCCTCCCCCTCCCACCCCACCACGTCTGTTCCTGCTGCTGTTCCCTAGTCGAGAATCACTTGCCTTCCAGGGCACTTGGGGCGCTCCCACTAGAGGCAAAAACGAGATGGCCTCGGAGGTGCTATGGCACTTAGCTGGGTGTCACAGGAAACTGAATACTGACCCTCCCCCAGGCAGAGGGGCCAAAGGTGGGGACCGAGGGATTATCTAGGAACTGGATTCCCCAAGGGGGCCCACAGGAGAGTCAAAATGTTCGGACACAGCAAGCCCCGCCGAGCCACGGTTGGCAGGTTAGGGCACTGAGGCTCCATGTCAGCGGCTGCCGGAGCGAAGGCCCGATTAGCTCCAGAAGCATGTGGCTTCTCCCGAAGTAAAAGAACTCCCTTATTTGATGAGGCACCAAAATAACAAAAACAAAAACCCACTGAGCATTCTGGAATGCATAATTCATTCAATTGTACACATTCATCTTCCCCAGTTTTTAATTAGAAGGCCTGAAATTAAATGCCACACGTGTGTCTACTACTGATAGAGGGAAAGTTTGCATTTGGCAAAATTGGTTCCAAATGAATAAATTCTAGAGATTGAGAAAGCACTGAATTTCTAGCCCTGGGAAGAAGAACTGGAGATCCAGCAGGCCCAACACGCACTGCACCTCACGTATAAGGCACAGAATCTCACCGTATTTGGTTCTCGGTAAACCCCAGACTTCTCAAGGTCTTACCGTTGAACAGAACTTCAGTCAAGGCCTTCTCTGGGCTTAACCACGCAGCTAACGGTCTGGAGACACGAAGTTAAGAGCTATCCATTGGGCAGCAAGACCCCTAGACCAACCCTGGAGCAGAAAGATCAGCACAGACAAGATACGGACGAACGAATCACACACACTTTATTAGTTTCCTCTATGACAGACAGCAACATCAGTCTTTTTAACAGAAATCGCAGGTCACTGGAGAGGCCCAAGAGATGGAAGGAAGATGAAATATTTAAATTAATCAAAAGGCACTACGACCCCACCTAACACCTACTACCACGGCGGTAGCGGGCTAAGGAAGATTACGCTACGGCAAAAATAATCCTGTTAGAGATGACGTAGCAGGAAGCGACTTTGCTTTCCAGAAGACTGTGGTACGAGGAACACTTGCACCCCAGAGGACACCTGGCCAGGGCAAGGGCAAGATGGCTGAAGGTCAAGCCAAATGGAAAGGGACGGGTACAAAGGAGAATCCAAGCAACACAATCCCCAAGCAGGGGGTGAAGGATCAGGCTTTTTCCTCCCAAGAAGCATTCACTGACCTGTGTGCCGCCTCCCCCCCTACCCCGGGCACCCCCACTCCCTCCAGAGGGCTGCAGCTTTACAGGACTCAGCGGCCTGGCCCCGAGCTGGGCTGGGGCGGCCTAGGGTTCTTGCTGTCATTTTGCAGAGACTTTTGAGAGCCTGTCACAGGTTGGGGGTTGGGGGGGGACTGGGGTGGCTTTGTTGCCAGTAGTTCTGAACCAAGGAAACCCTGAAGTATTCACATGCAAAGTAGTCTGCGCTTTCCCCCCCTGCACATTCACACCCCTACAGAACACCCTCCGAAGCCTGAACTCTTGCTGTGCGCAGCTCAGCAGTTCATCTCCATCGATCGTCTTTCTCTACATTTAGGAGAAATGCTAATATACCCGATGAGGGGTGGAGAAAGCTTCGCCAGAGGCAAGCTGGGCCTTCTGCGGAATTTGTCATCAAATACCAAGGGAAAACGAGGGGGCGGGGTTCACTTTCTTCGTAAAAAGCCTCAGCAGTTACTCTATTATAAAGGGACGTGGCTGAACAGGTAGGAAACGGACTCCCCGTTGTGAGTTCTCCTGATGGCTTCTGCCAGGATCATGGAGATGTCGATCACCTAGGGGAGCCGAGAGGAGCATCAGGTTAGCAGCACACAGACAGATGCCAACCCTGGTGAGCAGCACGAGGGGCCTTCCCCTTAAGGCTGCTGCACTAGGCTGTGTCCCCTCATGAGCCGCCCCCAGCTACCTTCTGCATAGTACTTTTTAACATAACCGCTTGGGAAAGGGCCAAAGTGCTCAAGGAGGAACACCCCTGACTCAGACTCACCAACACGGTGGTGCGCTGACACTTACAGATCCTCAGCAGTGAAAACAAGGGAATGCTTAAGCTGAAAAAACAAATCCTTAAGGACATCGGTGCTCCACTTCTCCATATGAATCTCAGAAAGCTAAGGGATTACTGTACACGTTTTTAATGAGGCAAGGCCTTGTTCTTTTGGCGCCAACAGCCCTTGAACATTAGTGTCTAATTACTTGGGGGAATTAAAGGAGGGGTCCCGGGACCTCCTGGTTTTGTAGGTCTCAGGTGGAGCAGAGGAACCTGCATTTTAACAAGAACCCTAGGTAACTAACTTAGGCTGTTTCCAGAGCATGCTCTGAGAGACACTGAAGTTCTGAGGGGTGTACCCCCGCCCCCCCCGTTTAAAGGTTTCCTTCCCACTGTGTCCGCAGGGGGCCAACAGTTCAGAGTGACACACACCAAGTGTAAAGCACGGACTTGCAAATTTGGGTGTGAATCACAATCACTGAGAGCGTCCGCTGAAATGCTGTAGTCCCGATGCTCTGTCCTCCAGAGGTTCACCTCACAACTGGAATCTTTACATGTGATTTTTTTTTTTTTTAACTTTTGGGTCACAGATCAGCCCTTTAAGAGCAAAGGAGGACATCTTCAGAATCCAGACCCCTAACTCGCCATAGGCAACCACTTCCTGAAAATACTTCGTGGAGTCTTTTTTTGCAAGAACCTCCTCCTCACCTGTATTTTGGAGCAATGCTTCATCTTATCCTCCTGAGGTATGGTATTGGTGACTACTACTGCTTCAAAGCATGCGCTGTTAATGCGGGAAATGGCCGGGCCCGAAAAGATTCCGTGAGTCAAGATCGCATAAACTCTGGTGGCTCCAGCTGAAAGAAGTCTAGAGGGAAACGCAGAGTTGCTCTGGATTACTCTCACTTGTCACTAGGGGACCTGAGTTGGGGGGCGGGGGGAGGAGTGTATCTGTCAGCCTGGGTACCTTAAAAACTTGCCCTCTCAGTTCTGGAAGCTGCGACCCCCAAGATCAAGGTGGTTACAAGGTAGTGGTCGCCCTGAGGCCTCTTCTCTTGGCCACCTCCCTGTGCGCTCATGTGACCTCTGCGCGCGCCCATGCACGGGGGAACCAGCTCTCAGTGTCTCTTCTTACAAGGGCACTATTCCCATCATGAGGGTCCCCCCCACGACCTCATCTAAACCTAGGTACTTCCCCCAAAGGCCCCATCTCCAAATATCATCACTGGAAGGGTAGGACTTCCAACGTATGAGCTTTAAGGGGCCACGATTCAGTTCACAGCAAAGAGAAATAATTGGACTAAGAACTTACCTGACTAGGTTTGGATTAATGTAGTAAAACTGGCACAGACTGCTATGCTCAACAAAATCCATTGCCTTTTTTTCTTTTTCCTGGGCACACAGCTGGACTACATTTCCCAGCCTCCCTTGCAAAGTTAGGAGTGGCCATCTGCCTGAATTCTAGCTATCAGAATGTGGGCAGATGCAATGTATACCACTGCCTGGGCTCAGAAGAATCTTCCATGGGTGATTCTCCACACTCTTGTTTTCCCTTTCTGGCTGGTCAAACTGGAAATGTCTCCCAAGGTAATCTTGGAAGCCTTATGTTAAAGATGCAGCACCACAAAACTGAAAGAGGGATACCTGCACTGGAGTAAGCCAGGAACAAGAAACTATCATGGTAACGAACTGACATTTCGGGGAGCTGATCTGTTACAGCAGTTAGGGTTAACTTAATCATAAAGGATGAAATGAGTTTTATCAGTGTATACTCCAGGGTCCCAGTCAGGAATTGCTCAGCCCACAAATACTTTCTTAGCCCCTATTATATGCCAGGCCCTCTGCGTGGCACAGACACCCTGGGGTTAAGAAAAAATTAGGAGAAACAAGGCTCTTCACAGTGGTGTGGACTATAGCAATGAGGAGCCACTTAAGGTTTTCAAGGAGAGGAGTGATGGGCTCTAGCCTTAGTTTTAGACAGATTAGCAAGTGGGGAGGCAATGAGAGAGATGGACTGGGGAGGTAATAAGAGACTGGTGACTAGCAGCAGAGCGAAGAGTGAAGGCACAATTTAGTGCAGGCAAGGGGGCACCTGGGTGGCTCAGTCGGTGAAGCGTCTGCTTTCGGCTCAGGTCATGATCCCAGGGTCCTGGGATCGAGCCCTGCATTGGGCTCTCCGCTTAGCAGGGAGCCTGCTTCTTCCTCTCCCTTTGCCTGTCATTTCCCCTGCTTGTGCTCTCTCTCTCTCAAATAAATAAAATCTTAAAAAAAGAAAAAGAGAATCATATGGAAATTATATTTATAGTACCGCACTGTATTTATAAAAAAAAAAAAAATGCTTAAGTGGACTCACACAATTCAAATCCGTGTGAAGAGCCAATTCCTATCTTTTCAGGCCCATACATTTCTCCTTTAATTTGTTTTTATTTGTTTTTATTTTTTTATTATTATTTTTTTTAAAGATTTTATTTATTTATTTGACAGAGAGAGACACAGCGAGAGAGGGAACACAAGCAGGGGGAGTGGGAGAGGGAGAAGCAGGCTTCCCGCCGAGCAGGGAGCCCGATGCGGGGCTCGATCCCAGGACGCTGGGACCATGACCTGAGCCAAAGGCAGACGCTTAACGACTGAGCCACCCAGGCGCCCCATCTACTTTAATTTGTTTTTAAAAACTAACAAAAGTCGAGTATTCAGAGTGGTGAAAACATTTTGGAAATAAATACAGTGGTGACCGTCACACGGCACTGCCAATGTACCTAATGCCACTGAATCGTATACCTAATGGTCAAAACGGCAAATTTTATGCTCTATATAGTTTAGCATAATAAAACTCAGAAGATCTGGGGGAAAAAAGAAAATATCCATCAATGTATGCATACTGCAATTCAAAAGCCTCGGGTGATAACAACTCCCAAAGCTAGTTACCAGCCCGCTCGACTTACTTCCACCGAGAATCCGTAGGTGTAAGGCATTGAGACAGCGGCTAACTATGTTCCCCTTCTAACCACCAGCCCCACCTCTCCGCACTCACTTGTCGGCTGCGTGGCAGATTGTGCCACACGTGTCAGCCATGTCGTCCACCAGGATGGCCACCCGGTCCTTCACGTCTCCCACCAGCACCATGCGGTCTACTTCGTTGGCCTTCTTCCGCTCTTTGTGAATCAGAGCGAAGTCCACGTTCAACCGGTCTGCAATGGAGGTCACTCTGCAAAACAGGGTGTTTGCAGTTAAAACCTAAGGGCGAAAGACAGGGACTAAACCATGGGCTTGCTTTCCGGCGGGGAGGTGGGGCGGGGGAGCACTCTTTGAAACCAAACTGTTCCCAGGGCTAGAAGAAAACAGCTCTCATTGATTGACTTCTCAGAGGCCAACAGCACAGAGTGGGTTTTATAGACTAATGCCTCCATATCCTGAGAGCAGTTTCTGAGCGTATTAGTCAGACTTCGATTATAATTAATTCTGGTTTACAGCGAGCGGGGGATAGCCAGATGCCTCACCAGTCCCAGGAAGCAGTAGGATGCGAAGGCACGTTCATTTAAGAGATTGGCAGCAGAAGGGGGAGAGAGAAGACGTCATTAACTAAGGCCGCGAGTGCACAGATTGGCCCAATTTGACATGCGGATGTTGTGAGAAGTGAACCTGAACCTGGCGGGAGAGGAGTCAGAATGCCTGTGCTCTCACCACACTCCCCTCAGTGCTCCATCAACTGTCAATGTCAACTGTACCTGGACACCAAGCTTGGAAGTTCCTTTTAGGAGCGCTAGAAAGAAAGTTATACCAATTAACCAGGAAAACTGGACATCTGGCTGCACAGCCCGAAGTATCTCCAAGTCAAAACGTCAGTCTCATTTTGCTATTACACAATAATACAAACTGAACTAGAAGGTGGGACGGGAAGACTGATCTCTGATGACCAAGTCCCGTATAATTCACTCAACCAGAAATCGATTCAGTGTAAACGACAGCGTGCTGCTCAGTGTAAATGACGTGTAGGCCCCCCGCTCCGCTGAGCCGTCCTCCCCGTGCATGAAGAAGCCTGTGCTTTGGGTCTTGTTTTTTTAAATGCAGCACTGATCCAACCAGAGCATTATGCCCGGTTTCCGCTGTGACTACGGTCATGTGACGGAGGTTGTGCTGGACAGGGGAGAATGTATGACCCTGTCATAGAGAACACAGAAGATCCAAACCACAACCTGGACGGTTCATGTACCGACCTAGATGAACCACACCCTGGGCTCTCCTCTCCATGACTACGGTGTGGGCAGAGGACGTCAAGAATAACCCATCTGCTTGGAACATTTACTTAATCCAAGACAAACGCACGATCCAATTAGCTCAAGCGTCCCCCACCGTCCAGACTCGATGGCCAACAACCTCAATGACCGACAAAGCGGAAGGGCTGGGAAGGCACTCCCTATACCTTTGAGGGGAGAACTCTGTGCAAGTCACCAACACACAGGGATCTCCACTTACTCCGAAAACCCTGCCAAGACAGAAGTGATAATAGCCACTCACTCTGAAAATACTCTACTGCTGTTAAGAGAATTATCAACACACACACAAAATAGTAATGAAGCCATAAGTCACCTACTGAAGGCAGTTTTCCTGTACCCAAATTTGGAAAGAAAATCTTGCTTGATTATTTATTTCGAACACTATTTTCTAAGTCCCATGGCAAGATGGGAAAACACTGGCCAACAAGTTAAGACAAGTTTGACAACTACCATTAGGGAGATGCTTTTTAGGCTTGGTTGATTTTACAGATGATAACTAGCGATTACATGGGACTCACGAAGCCATGCATCTGGCTGGATAACGGAACCCAAGTTCTCAGCTTAGCTGTTCTGTTGAAGTTACTGAAATAATGAGGCTGTTGAGAAACAGTCTTTGAAGATTTGAATGGCCTTTAGAAAGATCTGAATTAGCTTTTCCTAATCATCTGTGTTTTGTAGCCTCTTCATTCTATTTCCACAACAAGAAGAACATGTGTCATCCTTTTGAATGCATTACTAATGAGTGATCCACTAAGGAAATCAAGAGCTCTTAGTCCGCACCACGTGAGCTGTAAAGCACTGAAACTGGCAATCCTTGGCAATCAGTTTGTTTAAAATGTTAAGGTCCTGGTTTTAAATAAAGTTACTCCACTTTATTTTCCTTCCTGCTTAATATCTTAATGCCAGAATGAAGACGGTCTAACCACTGGCATCATGAGGTGTGGAAAAAGCCTACTTGTCCACTAATAGCACGTAGTTTGAAAGCGAGTGCCATTCATCAGAAATCCAAATTTCCCACCATTTTGGATCGCTTCACAGCAGTGTGGCTAGCTCTGCGGTGCCCAGTGACTCATGGGTTTCAGTCAAGCCTACAACACGGTAGCTACTTAAGGGCCCCCTCTGTGCTGTCCTGCCTTTCAGACAGTGACTCAGGCCAGTAAAGGAGGGTTAGTAAAACTATGTCTAGCCCGTGTCCCGGTTCCACCCATTCTGAAGTAGAGCTGACCCTTGGAAGACACGGGTGTGAACTGTGCAGGTCCACTTATGAGCCGATTTTTTCTTGATGCAGTACAGTACTGTAAATGTATTTTCTCAGCAACATTTTCTTTTCTCTAGCTTGCTTTCTTGTAATATAGTATTTAATACACATAAAATACAACATGGTTAATCGGCTGTTTATGTTATTGGGAATGCTTCCAGTTAACAGTTGGCTACCAGTAGTTAAGTTTTGGTGTGGTCAAAAGTTCTATGTGGATTTTTGACTGCATGGGCGGGGGGCGATGCCCCAAACCCCCATGTTGTTCAAGGGTCAGCCATACTTAAAAACTGTCACCTGCCAGAAAAATATCACTTTCTGGGGCACCTGGAGCGGCTCAGTCAGTTAAGCATCTGCCTTCGGCTAAGGTCATGATCCTAGGGTCCTGGGATCGAGCCCCAGGTCGGGCTCTCTGCTCAGCAAGGAACCTGCTTCTCCCTCTCTCCCCCGCCTGTGCTCTCTCTCGCTATCTCTCTCTCTAAAATAAATAAATAAAATCTTGAAAAAAAAAAAGAAAACTATCACTTTCTGACACAGCTGTCTGAAAGGTTTCCCCAGTACTTTGAGAATAATATGCATTCCGGCCATACCTCTTCGCTCCACCAGCGTCAGGTGACACAATAGTACAGTTCCTCCACTCAGAGATGTTCTCCCTTATCCACTTCAGGACAGCTGGCTCTGCATACAAATTGTCCACTGGGATATCAAAAAAGCCCTGTAGAAAGAAGCTGAGTCACGTTTGCTTTGTTTTTCTGCACTTCCATTTATAAATGACCAATACAAAGAGGTTAACAACTTGCCCGAAGAATACCTTCCTGTATCATTCAGACTGATTAGAAGGTATGCCTGTTGGAGCAGACTAAAAACGGCTTCCTCCTTCCTCAAACCTGGGCGGCACAAGAGAGTCCAGCCAAGAGGGGCAAAGCCTGCCCTCGGCTAACCCACAACTGACCACAGGAACATGAGCGAGCCCTTGGCAAGAACGGCCAAGTTCAGCTGATACCAGAACAGCCCAGTCAATGTGCAGACCCATGAGGTCATACTGCCTTATGGCACCAAATGTTGGGCTGGTTCGTTAGGGAGCAAGAGCTAACTGCTAAACCAGTTAGACATGCTCTGATATGTAAACCTAGTGCAATGCATTTATAATAAATGGTCACAGAGAGTAACTCTTAATACTAGCTGCTATAGATTAGCTGTGTTTCTCAACAAATCTGTTCCTCTTCTATAAAATGGGTAGAATCACCTACCCCGGGTACCTCACTGGATCGCCACAAGCCTCCAATGAGGATGTGAAAGCCCCTTTAAATAGTACAGAATATAAGGTAGTATTCTGCTCTGCTTTCTCTGGGTTTATGCTACAAAGTAGGTTCCGACAGCTGCGGCTCTCAATTTAACGATGACAGTAACGGTTCCTATTAATCGAGCACTTGTCCTGGGCCACGCGTTCTACCATAAATTTCGCACTCACAACAACAATGCGGTGTGTGTTCAGAGCAGTTAAATAACCTGCCCAAAGTTACAAAGCTGCTGAGTGTCAGAGCCAGTATTCGAGCTAGGTCTGAACCCAAAGCCTATGCTCTTCTCAGAATTCCAGACTGCCTCCCTTATCCAACCATCCCAAAGACCAAGATCAGGAACTATGCTTAAGGTGAGGGTGCTTACAGCACTGTCAATGTCTAGTTCATCGGAGCTGTTCCTGGGCAGGTTTTTGCTTCTCTGCAGTCTCCAGCATTATCAGCTCTCTCCTCTCCCACCCCTTTCTAATGCCCAATATTTAGCTTCCAGATACCTGAATCTGAGAAGCATGCAGGTCCATGGTGATAATATGATCCGCGCCTGCTACAGAGAGCATATTTGCCACCAGCTTGGCTGAGATTGGAGCCCGGCTCTAAATGGAGGGGGAGGAAAGAAGAACAAAAAAACCAAAAAGCCATTTTGAGAAACAATTCATTTGCTCGAGAAGCATTCCTTTATTGTGCACTTACTATGTTTAAGGCACCGTGCTGCCAGGAAATTCATAGAAAGTGCCATGGCCGTTGACTTCATGAGTAGATCACAATCTAGCACGAACAGTAAGTGGAATATCACTTTTCCAAATCAGGATATGGCTTTCAGAAGAGAAAAATACCTTCCTACCTTTTGTTTTCTTAACGTAATGTACATAGTTTCAGCCTATTGAGTGTTGCAATGCTCAATGATTTAAACTAGGCAGACTTAAAAAAAAATCTTTTTCACAAAAATTATTAAAATCTCTTTTAACACATACTCAAACCTGTATGACATCTAACATGCCGAAATTTAAAGATCACAGAATGGAAATTATAGTTTATTTTGTAAATGATACCACTCTCCTACTCATCTGGAGGCCGACCTTCCGGCAACTTCAACCTTTTTAAATAACAGGCAAATACACCTGGCTGCACTATAAAATAGGAAAGGCCTTGCCCTTTATATTCTGTAGGAGCACTATACTCTCTCAGAATAAAAGTATCTGGCTTTCTCCCAGACACTGTATGCAAAATTTGCGCACCAATTATTACAATAGTCCTGCAAAGTTTTATATACATTACCTTAGCCTCTAAAATCCCAGATAAATGAGGTGAGATGTGTATGTTTATAATGAGACTAAGCCTTCACGTAACCGACTTCAAGTTTTATGAAGAGATCACAGCTGGAACCCCAAGAGGGTCCCAGAGGATCTACCAGAGTTTAAAAAATATTCCACTCCACAGTAGCTGCTTAGTCCTACTGACACAATTAAAAAGTCGCAGTGAGCTAACATATGTATGTTACATATGTATGAAAGTCACATATGTATGACTAGAACAAATACAGACTACAAATGAGTTGATTTATATAAACCAACCCCGTGTCAATTGTTTTTGAACACTGGGTGATGCCTAAAAGAATGTGATTAAAAACAAAAAAGTAATATACCCTCTAAATATGGGTCTGAGGATTAAGGAATTTTTGTGACTTTGGGCAAGTGCTTCTTCTGATAAAAAAAAAAGTTTTTTTGTTTTTTGTTTTTGTTTTTGTTTTTTTTAAAGGAGATTCTGCTCCCACCTTATCCTTCTTATCCTGTCGGGCATAAGGGAAGCATGGGATGACTGCAGTAACCCGGCTGGCTGAGGCAATCTTGCAGGCATTAATCATGATCAAAAGCTCCATTAGATTGTCATTGATTTCGCCACAACCACTCTGAACAATGTAGACATCCTCTCCACGTACGCTTTCTCCAATCTCCACACTACAACGAGAAAGGAAGGAAAGCAGAAAAAAAACCAAGAGATTTTATTTTTTAAAAAAATTTTTAAAAAGATTTTATTTATTTATTTGAGAGAGAGTGAGCGAGAGAGCATGAGGGGGGAGGGGCAGAGGGAGACGCTGACTCCCTGCTCAGCGGGAAGCCGGGACTCGGTTCCAGACTCCAGACTCCGGGATCATGACCTGAGGCGAAGGCAGACACTTGACCAGCTGAGCCACCCAGGCGCCACAAAAAAAACGAGATTTTAAAGCACTACACTACATTTCTACGGACAGTAAGGTCTAAAAAGTACAGCTTCCCTATGTTCACGGGTTATAGACTAGTGGGGGTCAGGCGAACACTGGTCCCCTCATTTTGGGAGATCCCCTGTACCAGAAGCAGTTTACTGCCTCAGTTTACTCCGGTGTGCCATAGAAATATTAGCTACTTTTTACAAGTGACGTGGCATGAAGATTGGCTAAAACACAAGTAACTGGAACATAATTTCAGCGAGCTGCCTGTACCTCATTATATACAGGAATAGGACATGTGAATGCAAATTTGATACAAAATCTGTGACTGTCACAATTCACACAGAACAAAAGCAGAAAGATCATGTACGGAATGAATCACTACTGTTCTATAATGATGGCTTCTACGGAAGCCAGCACATCTACCATATTGGCACTTTAGTCAACAAACAGTCCATGTTCATATGCCAGTCACTGTGCTAAGTGTCAGAGACGTATGGAGAATAAAACAGATGTGGTCCTTGCCTCCATTTTGTGCCAACTGTATTCTGTCCAATTAGTAAGTCTTGTTTAAAAGATATCCCACAGGAAATTAATTATGGAGTAGGGCTATACTTTACCATAAAATGAAAGTTTTAATATCCACGCTTGGATCCTTACCAAGAATAACTTAGGATTAAAAAAATCATAACTTCCCTGACACCTCAAAGCAACACCATTTCCCGAATTAATCCTGCGGGGGAGGCGGGGGTTATCCGTGGACGTGCATACAGTATGTAGTGTGTATCGATCCAGAGTAGGTCAGAATAGTTGATAACTCCTACTGATCAAAAGCAAAACTGCAACAGGAGGTAATTCCATTGCCAGAAGCAGCTGATATAGGAGAGAATCATTTAATATATATCCCTTTCCAATCCAAGTAACAGTTAATTTTAAAAAGAATGTTTATATTGTAAAGCAAGAAAAATAAGAGCAAACGGTAAAAATCAAGCCAGAAACCAAGGAGAACAGGGAGGCTGAGATTCCTGGTAGCCAGAACGACGAGGAAAACATTAGTTAGGGATATCTGGAGATAAGCCTTCAGGCACCGAATTCAAGAAGTATTTTATACTAGGGATCCTTACATTAAAAGTGCATTGTTTTCTCAATAATCAGTATCAATAAGGGATGCCTTATTGGTTAAGTGTCTGCCTCTGGCTCACGTCATGATCCGGGGGATCCTGGATCCCGGGGGCTCTCTGCTCAGTGGGGAGTTTGCTTCTCCTTCTCCCTCTGCCCCTCCCTCCGGCTCATGCTCTCGCCATCTCAAATAAATAAATAAGTAACCTTTAAAAAAGGCAAAAGAAAAAAATCAGTATCAATAATCTCAGTTCCTACACTGATAAAGTAGAAAATGGGCAAAATAAACCCAAAGCAAGCAGAAGAAAATAACCGTAAGAGCAGAAGTCAGTGAAACCGAAAACAGGAAAACAATAGCGATAAACCAATGAAACACAAAGCTGGCTCTTGGGGTGAGGGGAATGAAAAAACTGGTAAGCCTCGGGGCACCTGGCTGGCTCAGCGGCTCTTGATCTTGGGGTCGTGGGTTTGAGCCCCATGTTGGGTGTAGAAATTACTTAAGTAAATAAACTGGAAAAATTTTTGAAAAAAACTGGTAAGCCTCTAGGAAGACTGACCGGAAAACAGCTTCACTGGAGAACTCTACCAAACACTTGAGGAATGAACACCAATTGTGCACCATCTTTTCCAGAACCGAGACGAGGCGGGAATATGTTCCAACGCATTTTACATTTTACAAGGCTGGTACCAGTGAGACACCCAAACCAGACAAAGGCAAGCTAAGGAAACTACACAGAGCGAGAAGTGTGGGTGTGGTTACAACAGGAAGGAGCCTTGTGGTGACAGGATGGTTTAGTATCTTGGCTGCATGAAGGGCCATATCGTGCCTCTTGCATTACACTAGTTTTGCAAGAAAACTATAGTTTGGGAGAACTCTGGTTGGGAGCGTTGGGAAAACTGGGAAATGGGTACACAGGATTTCTCGGTATCATTTCCTACAATTACATGTGAATCTACAACTGCCTCGAAATTTGGTTTTAATGACAGAGGGCATTATTATACTTTGTGTGGACCTGGGTAAACCATTACCGCAGCCCTCCATGAAAGCGGAGGTCATAAAAGTGTAACTAGAAACAAAGGCATTTCTGTGTGAAGTCAAAGAGCGTCATCCAGTTGGATTACGTTCTGAGAAACTATGTAATATGGTGAGGGAACCTGGAAAACTCTGACTTTTTTGATTTGAGAAATAGCTCATCTCCACGTATTTTCTCCCTAGGTTACTATGCATCAGTCACCTGGTCTGTCTTCCTCTACGTTCCCTGAATCTGTCCTTCATCATGTCATTGTCCTGCACTTGGTCCCACTACCTGGAATGTTCTTTCTGTGACTAGCTCATTTATTTCTCAGGTCTTCAATCAAAATATCTCCTCTGATTATCTTAATTAAAAAAAGTGACTTCCCTGAGGACCAAAAGATTAAATTGACTTAAAAAAAAATCAACCTGGGCACCTGGGTGGCTCAGTTGGTTAAGCGTCTGCCTTCGGCTCAGGTCATGATCCAGGGGTCCTGGGATCGAGCCCTGTGTCAACCGTCGACTAGCTCCCTGCTCAGTGGGGAGTCTGCTTCTCCCTTTCCCTCCTCCCCGCTGCTCACTGCTCGTGCTCTTGCTTGCTCTCAAATGAATAAATAAAAATCTTAAAAAAAAAAATCAACCAACTGCACCATATAGGCTTCATTTGCATACCGATTCAGGCAAACAACCCCCCCCCCCATATTTATGAGACAGGGAAATTTGGAACACTAGCTGGGTTTGATATTGAGACAGCTGTTAAATTATTTAGGCAAGAAAATGGTATCGTGGTTACTGAAATACATATGGGTGATATGATATAATATCTAGGTTTGTTTCAAAATAATTGTGGGGGGTGTGTGTGGAAGGGGAAATTGACAGATGAAACAAGATTAAGCCAATAATTGATAACTGCTAACCTGGGTGGGTGATGGGTACACAGGGGGAGACCATTATACTATTCTCTCTACTTCTGTTTGTTTGAAATGTTCCACAATAAAGTGACCCTCCCCAGTTACTACCTTCACAACACTTAGCATAACTTGTTATTGCTTTATATTTTTACCCACTTGTTTATGGTCGTCTCTTCCCTTAGAATGCAAGCTCCATGAAGGCAGGGACCAGATCTGCCGTGCTCTTCTGTATCCCCAGCCAGCCAGGGCCGGTGTGACACAAACAGTGAATGAATAAATACTCCCTCAGGATTAGGCTGCCTCTTGGGATCCACTCACTTGGGGATCCACTCACTTGAGTCGGAATGCAAACCTTCTGCAGGTGTGCTATTGAGAAGATTTAGAAGACTGGCTTCTATCATCCCTCACAAAGTAACTCACTTCGCACTAGAGGCAAGCGGGTCCAACATGTTTCTTTAAAAGATTTTATAAATCTGCTCAGATCCTTTTCACAGATCCTCAGCTGGCAGAGATTTCGTTTTGGGTAGAACTACAACCTGTTGGGCCCACCACAATGGGGATAGCTACGAAGAATTTTATGGCAGGATCCTGAAATCTTGATACAGAGGCAACCTAATGAACGATATAGCAATTTTGTGGACCCTGGTTTAGCTTAACTGACATCTATTTTTTTAAGATCTTATTAGAGAGAGAGAGAACAAGTGGCGGGAGGAGTAGAGGCAGAAGCAGGCTTCCCGCTGAGCAGGGAGCCCGATGTGGAGCTCGATCCCTGGATCCCGAGATCATGACCTGAGCCGAAGGCAGACCCTTCACCGACTGACCAACCCAGGTGCCCTGTGAACTGACATCTATTAATCACCGGGATCAGCCTTAAAAAGCAATGGACTCTGTCCGCAATGTTAACTATGCCAATGCCAAATCTGCTTTCTGAAGACATTCTTCAAATTTCAAATGGACAAACAGGAGGGAGCCAGGGAGGGCTTTCTGGGAGAGCAACTTCCATGTTTTCCAAAGTGTAGGTCCTAGAATGGCACCGTCCAATCTGAGAGTCACTGGACTTGTATGGTTATCAAGCACTTGAAATGTGATTAGTGTGTCTGAGGAACTGAACTGAAATGTGCTAGAAGCATAAAATACACACTCTTTTGTGAGGATGGTATAAATAAAAGGAAAAACATATCTCAAGTTTACTGTCACTTATGTGTTAAAACTATCCTATTTTTGGATATGCTGGGATAAATAAAATATATTATTAAAAAACTAAAAACCACAAGCAGACAAGGCTGAGTAACACCTCCCCGAGGAGACCATGTTCTGCAATGTACTCACTGGGGCAGGCCCAAGTAAAAGGCAGTGGTGTTTAAAGGGACTTCTCAGATCTCCTTTACTCACAATGCCCACCCTTTGACAAGTTCCAGGCTACAAGAGCCCTTTCTATGTTTTATGGTGCACAACTCTGGGGTCTTGACCAGGTACTTCAAATATCTGAGCAACTTCAAAACTGGGGTGAGAGCCCCATACCTCATCACCTCCTTGACTAAGATCTCCATTTCCCAGGGGTAGAACCAAAGTCAGGCACACTTATTTCCAATAAAGTCAACGGTATCCTCCACATCTGATATGGGAGGCCTGTGGCTCTTATTTCAGTCAAGAACACAGAATATCATCTGTAGTCCAGACGTTCACTCAACCAGAACCAGGTTGTTTGAT